TGTACGTGTGCAATGGTGTTGAGTTGAAATTGGCTCCCACTTTGCCTCTGCGCCAGAGTTGAAGTTCTAGTGGGAGGAGCGATACTTAGGGCTGGTGAAAATATGTTATTGGTTTCTTATTTATTTGTAATAATTACATTTAATATAAATATAATTTGAATAAGGAAATAATGAATTAATTTTCTTTTATACTTAGGCTAAAATCAGCAATTTTACAATTGAAAATTATGTAACATCGAGGTAATAACAGTTGTAAAGATTTAATAAATCTGTTACAGCGTTAAGATTTTAACATTAAAACCTTTTTTATTTGATACAGCGGAAAGCGAGTACACGGTACAAATTGGTGCCGATTGTTTACCATCAGGTTATCTTGATTGTGAAAGAATAATGAAGAATTTTATTTCGTGGTGATTGGGACAAAAGGGAATGTCTGACTCTTACTGTCTAAAAGCCCCGTTCCTGCGGCAGGCGGAGACCACGGTACTTTATTGAACTCGCAGAAAACATATTAATATATCATTCTTCATTTGTCGAATAAATGTGTTTTCTTTCTTTCTTTCTTTCTTCATCTTTTTAGTGGAAATCAACCTGAGATGCCCAAAAATTCAAAAATTTTTTCCAATATTTTTTTAGCAACATGAATTCGCCAACCCTGTCCACGACCGCGGGCCCATCAGTATAACAATTTAAGAGAACGCTTTGAACACTAATAAATTAAACCAAGTAACAAACAACAAATACCCACAACCTGTTCACCATTAACTTTAATATATTGAACATTTTTTTACCAATTTGAGTCTTCAAGCGGGTGTGAAAAATCCCCAAATCTTCGGCTGTAGTGATTACACTACAGCCGGATGCGGCTAAAAAGGGGGTGACGTACGGGGACGTACTCAAAAAGTTGAAGGGGGCGGTATCTCCTGCGGAGTTCGGGGCACCCGACGGGTTCGCAGTGAGGGTCACTGCCACTGGAGCCCGTCTCTTAGAGGTCCCCGGCGCGGCCAGCGGGTCGTCCGCTGACGCCCTAGCCGAGAGGCTCAGGACGTGCCTTGCAGCGGACGAGGCTCGCGTGTCCAGGCCCACTAAATGCCTGGAGCTACGTATTATGGGCCTGGACGACTCTGTGACGGAGAATGAGGTGGCGGCCGCTGTCGCCAGGATGGGGGAGTGTCCTGTGGACCAGGTGAAGGCAGGCACCATCCGCCCGGACAGCACGGGGCTGCGGACTGTGGTAGTCAGCTGCCCCGTCACAGCGGCAAAAAAATTGTCGGAGGGCAAAAGACTCCTGGTGGGCTGGGTCTCGGCGCAGGTGAAGCTGCTTGAGCCCCGGCCTCTGAGGTGCTATCGTTGCCTTATTGGTCACCATGTGGGTGCCAAATGCACCTCGGAGGTAGACCGTAGCGACCGCTGCTTCCGCTGCGGTCAGCCCGGTCACAGGGCCGGCACTTGCACCGCACCGCTACACTGCGTAGTATGTGCGGCGGCTGGTAAGCCGGCCGATCACCGGGTTGGGGGCAAAACCTGCTCCCCCCCCGCCAATCCCAGGGGTAAAGTTAGGCCCTCTGCCGCCTCTACCGCCCCCGCCGTTCCCGTCGATACAGACACAGTCGCCACCGCCTCCGCGACTGCTGCTGTCGCCGGTGCCAGAGAGGAGGTCGTGATGGACTGCCAATAATGGCTCCATTACGCCTCCTCCAGGCGAACATCAACCACTGCGCCGCTGCTCAGGATCTCCTGCTCCAGAGCATGGCGCAGTGGTCGATCAATGTTGCTGTGGTCTCCGAGCCGTACTTCGTTCCACCCAGGGAACACTGGTTGTCAGACCTGGACGGCTCGGTGACCATCATCTCGTCGGCCGCCGCTGGTACCCCAACCCCCGAAGGGCCTCAGCGAGGCAGGGGTTGCGTCGCGGCTCGGTTCGGAGAGATCGCCGTGGTGGGCGTGTACTTCTCTCCGAACCGAACTCTCGTCGAGTTCCACAACTCCCTCAGGGAATTAGTCACCGTCGTCGTCGGGTTCCGTCCCCTCCCCGTGCTGGTCCTCGGGGACTTCAATGCCAAGAATTTGGCTTGGGGTTCCCGGCTCACTGATGTCCGGGGAAGGATGGTCGAAGACTGGGCTCTGGAGACAGGCCTGGTCGTGCTGAACCGGGGTTCTGTCCCCACGTGCATACGGATGCGGGGCGAGTCAGTGGTGGACATTTCGTTTGCTAGCCCCGCTCTGTCATCGCGCGTTGGCGACTGGCGCGTCATGGAGGAGGTGGAGACGTTTTCGGACCACCGCTATATACGGTTCGACGTTTCCGCCGAGTCCGCAGACCCGCCAGTCAGACAGGCCCCGTGTGGCCCGCGTTGGGCGCTTAGGCAACTGGACCGGGAGCTTTTCCTGGAAGCCGCAGTCGTGCAGGCCTGGGTGATACCACCGGTCAGGCCTGCCGACGTTAACGAGGAGGCGAGATGGCTCCAGGACGCCATGTCCAGGATGTGCGACGTGGCGATGCCCCGGATCCGGGCGTGCCAACGCAAGCGCCAGGTGTATTGGTGGTCGCAGGAGCTGGCTGCTCTGCGTGGTGAGTGCACCGCAGCGCGACGCCGATACACCAGGCACCGCAGGCTCCGTATCCGCCCTCTGGACGCTGAAACCAGAGAGGCGGAGCTGTACGAGGAGTACAGGGCGGCGAAGGCCACCCTAAGGGTGGAGATCCGGCGGGCCAAAGATCGGGCCCGCGAGGAGATGTTGGAGACTCTGAACAGAGACCCGTGGGGACGCCCCTACCGCATGGTGCGTGATAAGCTCCGCACCTGGGCGCCCCCACTGACTCAGAGTCTCCGGCCGGAGGTCGTGGACGAAGTGGTTGGGGCGCTATTCCCCCGACCACAGATAGGTTACACGCCTCCCACTATGTCTCCGCCCCCTGCGGTGCCCAATGCGGGCTACAACGACGACGACGGTGAATCCGCTCCGGAAGTGACCGAGGTAGATTTGAGGGTGGCGGTGCGCCGGCTGAGCGGCAAGAACACCGCCCCAGGACCTGACGGGCTGCATGCCAAGGTTTGGGTCCTGGCCTCGGAGGCTCTCAGGCCTCGACTAATTGGTCTTTTCAGCGCATGCTTGGAGAGGGGCCAGTTTCCGCTGTCGTGGAAGACGGGTAAACTGGTCCTCGTGAAGAAGCCGGGGCGTCCTGCGGACTCTCCGTCCGCGTACCGGCCCATTGTGCTGCTCGACGAGGTGGGAAAACTGTTCGAGAGGATAATATCAGACCGCCTCGTCGGGCACCTGTCTGGAAGGGGGCCGGATTTAGCGGACGGCCAGTTCGGCTTCCGCAGAGGGCGCTCCACGGTGGACGCCATCATGCGCGTGAGGGACCTCACAACGGGGACTGCGTTGGCCAGGGGGCGAGTCGTCGTGGCGGTGTCTCTGGACATCGCCAACGCCTTCAATTCGTTGCCCTGGAGCTGCATTCTGGAGGCACTCCGGTATCACCGGGTGCCTGCCTATCTCCGTCGTGTAGTCGAGGCTTACTTGACGGACAGATGCGTCATCTACCCCGGTCACCGGGGCGTGTGGAATCGGCGAGAGGTGTCGCGCGGTGTTCCACAGGGATCGGTCCTGGGACCTCTCCTGTGGAACATCGGGTACGATTGGGTGCTACGCACCGACCTCCCGAGCGGCGTCAGCATTGTTTGTTATGCTGACGACACGCTGGTGCTGGCGAATGGGAGGTCACATCAGGCGGCGGCCGACCTGATGTCGCAAGCGGTCGCGACAGTCGTTGCAAGGATCCGGCAGTTGGGACTCGAGGTGGCGCTTCACAAATCCGAGGCCATGTGTTTTTATGGCCGTCGGAACGCGCCACCTCCAGATGGGTCCCAAATAATGGCAGGAGGAGTTACCATCGGCGTCGAGTCGGCGATGAAGTACCTGGGTCTCGTCCTCGACAGCCGATGGAATTTCACGGAGCATTTTCGTCGTTTGGCTCCTAAGTTGGAACGGTCTGGGGCCGCGCTCAAGCGGCTCCTTCCCAACCTCGGGGGGCCAAACGCCTCCTGCCGGAGGTTGTACATGGGGATTGTGCGATCCATGGCCCTCTACGGTGCCCCTGTGTGGGCGCCGGATTTGAAGCGGCGGCCGGCTCGTACGCTGGTCGCGTCCCAGAGGGTCATGGCTATCCGAATAATCCGCGGATATCGCACGATCTCCGGGGAGGCGGCGAACCTCCTTGCCGGATCACCGCCATGGGATCTGGAAGCGAAGGCGCTCGCGCGCGTCTACAGTTTGCGCGCAGACGCGCGTCGCCGGGGCGAGGATCCTCTGCCGCGCCAAATTAGTGCGTGGCGGAATGAGCTCCGGCGAGATCTCATGGCTGAGTGGAAGCAGCGACTGTCGCAACCGAGGGCCGGGCACGCTACTATAGCAGCGGTAAGACCCCTCTTTGAGGAGTGGCTTGAGAGACGCCACGGCGTCCTCACCTTCCGCCTGACGCAGGTGCTTACCGGGCACGGCAGCTTTGGTAGGTTCCTGTTTCGGATCCAGCGGGAGGAAACGCCCGAGTGTCGTCATTGTGAGGATCACCTGGAGGACACGGTGGAGCATACGGTGGCGGAGTGCCCTGCTTGGGCTGAGCACCGCCGTGTTCTCAGGGAAGTGATCGGCGGCGGCGACCTCTCGCGCCCGGCCTTAATCGAGGCCATGGTGCAGCGTGAGAGGAACTGGGAAGCTATCTCCTCCTTCTGCGAAGCAGTTATGCTCGCAAAGGAGGAGGCGGAGCGCGTGAGGGAACTATCCTCCTCGCGCCCCAGCCGCCGCAGAAGGCGACATTCCGGACGTCGGGGATCGAGGGATGATCTCCGGCCACCGTAAGCGCGGGTCTGCGGACGGCGAGTAAGGGTAGCTCGCCGCCCGACCAGAACTGGACCCGAGCGTACGGCGCGTAGCGTTCCGCGCGCGCCTCAAAGAGCCACTAGACCACCACAGTCGGGGCCCTAAAGGGCTGATGTTTAGCCGGGGCTGCGGGGTAAGCGCAATGAGGCACCGCGACCTCGGCCCAGAGCAGGAGAAGGAACGGGGGGGTTTTTAGTCAGTAAGAGTCTGACACTCTCTCTCGCCTTACCCTGGGCGGGAGAAGTCATTGGATGATTTTCCCCTGACAAAAAAAAAAAAAAAAAAAAAAAAAAAAAAAAAAAAAAAAAAAAAAAAAAAAAAAAACCGGGTGTGAAAAACCCAAGTAAATTTGTCAGAGCGCTTTCTTATAACCATGCATCTTTAGGACTGGGATTGTAGTTAGAAATTGATAACAGCTCGTCTGAGTCCACTGCTGGACTAATAGGCCTCGACCATCTCTATTTAAGAGGGGGGTATTTGCTTCACGTTCGGAAAATGGCGATTACAGTAATAAGATAAAATTTTGATGATGATCGTAACTGCCAGATTAAAAAAAAAAGTTCCTTTATGTTGTATGTCGTGGTAGCCCGAAAGTTAAGGCGCCCGCTTGTCATGCATGAGGGTGAGGGTTCAAAACCTGACAACCAATACCACCATAGTCCCAATGTTAATTTTTCAAAGTTATATGTAATTCGTTTGATTATTTAGAGACCACTGATATACGGTGAAGGAAAACATCCTGAGGAAACCTGGACTTATAATTTCAAATTATTTTCAATTCAAATTCAAATTATAGGTTTCAAAATCAATTGATTAATGCTCAAATCTTCTCTGTTTCAGAAGAGACCTTTGCTAAGCAGTGGGCATTTATAGGCTGATGATGTAATGTGAAGTTCCTTAGTCAGGGTATTACAAACCCACGGAAAGAGGAGGGTTACAAATATATTATACACACGGTAATGTTATGACGCAATACAAATCACTATTCAAAAAAGAACTAAAGGAAATACTAACCAGGTCTCCCAAAACGGAATCAATACTGACCATCGAGATATTGGGAGTGTTTACTATCAATATTGGAGCTCGCTTCCTGTCTGTCCGTCCGTATGTTGTTTTCTTATCAAATATTTTGGTTTTGTGCTGATTTAGTGGAGCGAGTGGGTGATGGGTTGCTTGTGTTCTTATGCTAAGGAGTTACTTTATTCTAGAGTTTTCTAACTCTAAGTGTGGGAGAGCCATGCTTCGGCACGAATGGGTCGGCTCGACCGTACTGATACCACGGCCTCACAGAATACCGGCGTGAAACAACTCACAGCGTTGTGTTTCGCCGTGTGAGTGAGGTTACCGGAGGCCCAATCCCGCCCCTTCCCCTATCCCTTCCCGATCCTTATATCCGCAACTCCTATCATTAAAAGGCCGGCAACGCACTCGTAACTCCTTTGGTGTTGCGGGTGTCTATGGGCGGCGCCGATTGCTTACCATCAGGTAATCCGCCTGCTCGTTTGCCGACTTATACCATAAAAAAACTCGCTGTCGGTAGTTCAAAGGTCCCAGGTTTTATCATCGGGTCAAAAAAGTGTGGAAGTGTGTTCTGTGCTTGGTCAAGCGATCAGCGGGCTCAACTTCTCGCGCCGGCTCTTGGTACTAGTGGGAGAATTCCTCTTTCTGCGAAACAGTCATGCTAGCTAAGGAGGAAACGGAGGATGTGAGGCATCGAATCCCTTATGCCCGTAGAAGATGCTTCTGGCGTCAGAGATTGAAAGACGATTTCCAACCATTGTACGCGCGAGTGGCGACGGCGAACATAGCAATTTTCCTTGCATCTATAAGCCATTGGACCATCACAGATGGAGCCTAATAATTCCGATATCCAGCTGTAGTAAGTTCACGGTGCAAGGAAGGATCGTCAGTAAGAGTCTGACACTCTCTTTCGCCTTACCTAGAGCGGGAGAAGAAATTAAATTGTTTTCCTCCTCAAAAAAGTATATCTATGCAAAGAGAAAAAAATCTTTTGTCAATAACATCGACAAAACTGAAAATTTTGCTACCTAGTTGGTTGAGTGGTTTGGTTGAGAACTACGAACGAGGGGTTTCAAAATTGATACTCGGGTCATGAAAAATAATCCTCGTTACGGAGTACGTGTTATGAAGGTATAAAAAACTAATAAACTGACTTTTGAGTATCAGACGGTTCGAAACCAATTTCCTTTATAAGTACTTCCTTCTTAAGTATGTGTGAAAATTGTTCTGTTTGTCTCCCTATTAAAATTCAGTGTGAACTACGGTTGTTTTCTTTACACGGAAACGTTCAAATTGATCTGATTTCCTAATTTACCTACAGCAGTTGTTTATTGATCAATAATTGCTGAAGAACGGGCCTTTAGTGTTAGGATGTTATGTGAAAGGACGGCAAACTTACCTGATGGTAAGCAATCAGCGTCAACCATGGATACCCAAAACAACAAAAGAGTTACGAGTGCGTTGCAGACCTTTTGTGGATTTGCGATTTGGATATTTAGGGATTGGGGAAGGATTTGAGGAGAAATGGCGAAACACAACGCTGTACTCGTTTCACGCCGGCTTTTTGTCAAGCCGTGGCATCACTCCGGTCGAGCCAGTTGTATTTGTAACCACTTGACTCAAATGAATAAATGTCAAATTAATTCCACCCGCTCTATACTGCATCAATATAAAAATCTAAATCATAAAAGGACAACGATAGTCATTGACAAAAGAAAATCATCATAATATACCAATTTCTATAAATACAACAATTTGTATGTATTGAAGAAACTAAAGGACCTACCTACACCTCTGCTGTCCCCAAATGACGCAGCACACTCGAGACACCGGTTAATATATTGATGTACAAACATACACACATCCGTTTCCGTCTACTATTGACATTTAAGTTTTGACCACCTACCTGATTGGGTATTATCGATGAAGTTTTTTGTGACTAGGATATGGTTGGTATTTTAACAAGAATTTTCTTACTATTTGCATTATAATAAAGGTGTTATATTTAGTTATTTCGTTCGTTCTAACACTAAATTAGTAGTGATCATGTAATTTTTACTTGAAACAGATATTAATAGGTGTGTTTTTCCTAGTCTTCAGCCTCGAGCAGGAGAAGGAACGGGGCGGTTTTTAATCAATAAATCTCTTTCTTGCCTCACTCTTGGTGTATAATTCATTATATCATTGGAACGTGAATATATACCTAATATTTAACTTTCTTTTCTTCTTCTTCGTGTGATGAGAGTACCTGTCTATAATTTTTTTTTTTATCAGAGCATATTCGTCTTTCGTCGGAACGCTATCAATTTTTTTCAATATTACTTTATTATGGTGTAAAAGCCTCTCAATGTCTTTATCTTTTATCACTTGACTACACATCACGTTTAACATTCTTTCACAAGACATTTTCATTAAGAAATTAGAGAAAGGGTAACACCGTACACCGACACATTTGCCGATAATACATTCTAAGTGTTATTCCTGAGTTCAACATTCCGATTTTAGATAAACATATTAATAAATAGTAGTTTTCTTCCATTAGGTGCAATAATATTGGCTGTCTCATCGTTTCTGAAGGCTTTTGACAGATGACTCGAGAAGGGATGGGGTTCGGATACATTTTATTTGGGTGTGGGTTACATTTTAAATTCATTAATCTTATTTATCTTTATTTTATATTGCCACTGTAGATTTATCTTAGTTTTTATGGGATAGGTTTACTAATGACCATGTGAATTACCTGATGGTAAGCAATACCCGCCTATGAACGCTGGGAATATCAAGGAGTAACTAATGCGTTGCCAACCTTTTGTGGATTACGAGTAAGGAATTCGCGGATTCGGGATAGAATTGAGGAAGGTTTTTTGACGTGTTAAAAGGGCCGTTTTATGGCCTATGGGCAAAAATAAATTCATTGTTTCATTGTTATCACTGAGGGAGCCGGCCAATTGACGACAACGAAGGGTGTATTGGTTTACGTTTAGGAGTTTGAGTTTAATCAGTGGTTCAGCCTATTATCATTCTTCATTTATCATTGTAGCGACCCGCCCCGGCTTCTCACGGGCACTATGCTGGTACTAAATTTTTCCACTATTTAATGGAACATCCATTCATCCATCTCATCACTCTATCTGTAAAAAAATCGCATCAAAATCTTTTCCGTAGTTTTAAAGATTTAAGCCTACATAAGGTCGTGGTGGCCCGGAGGTTAAGGAGCCCGCTTCTCATGCATAAGGGTGTTTTTTTTTTTTTTTTTTTTTTTTTTTTTTTTTTTTTTTGTGAGGGGAAAATCATCAAATGACTTCTCCCGCCCAGGGCCGGGCAGGAGGGAGTGTCAGACTCTTACTGACTAAAAACCCCCCTGTTCCTTCTCCTGCTCTGTGCCGAGGTCGCGGTACCTTATTGCGCTTACCCCGCAACCCCGGCTGAACATCAGCCCTTTAGGGCCCCGTCTGTGGTGGTCTATTGGCTCTTTGAGGCGCGCGCGGAACGCTACGCGCCGTACGCTCGGGCCTGGTTCTGGTCGGGCGGCGAGCTGCCCTTACTCGCCGACCGCAGGCCCGTACTTACGGTGGCCGGAGATCGTCCCTCGATCCCCGACGCCCGTAGTGTCGCCAGTTGCGGCTGCTGGGGCGTGAGGAGGAGGATTGCTCCCTCACGCGGGCCGCCTCTCTCTTTGCGAGCATGACTGCTTCACAAAAGGAGGAGACGGCGTCCCAGTTCCTCTCACTCCGCACCATGGCCTCGACTAAGGCCGGGCGCGAGAGGTCGCCGCCGCCGATCACTTCCCTGAGGATACGGCGGTGCTCAGCCCAGGCAGGGCATACCGCTACCGTATGCTCCACCGTATCCTCTAGGTGGTCCTCACAATGACGACACTCGGGCGTTTCCTCCCGCTGAATCCGAAACAGGAACCTACCGAAGCTGCCGTGCCCGGTAAGCACCTGCGTCAGACGGAAGGTGAGGACGCCGTGGCGTCTCTCAAGCCACTCCTCAAAGAGGGGTCTTACCGCTGCTATGGTAGCGTGCCCGGCCCTCGGTTGCGACAGTCGCTGTCTCCACTCTGCCATGAGATCTCGCCGGAGCTCATTCCGCCACGCGCTTATTTGGCGCGGCAAAGGATCTTCGCCCCGGCTACGCGCGTCTGCGCGCAAACTGTAGACGCGCGCGAGCGCCTTCGCTTCTAGATCCCACGGCGGTGATCCGGCAAGGAGGTTCGCCGCCTCCCCGGAGATCGTGCGATACCCGCGGATTACTCGTATAGCCATGACCCTCTGGGACGCGACCAGCGTACGAGCCGGCCGCCGCTTCAAGTCCGGCGCCCACACAGGGGCACCGTAGAGGGCCATGGATCGCACAATCCCCATATACAACCTTAAGGGTGTGGGTTCCAAACCTGGCAAGTACCAATGTGACTTTTTCCGAGTTATATACTTTCTATGATTATTTTACACACCACTGACATACAGTGAAGGTAAACATCGTGAGGAAACCTGGACTTATAATTTCTAATTAATAAGTTTGAAATCGCCAACCCGCATTGAGCAAGCGTGGTGATTAATGCTCAAATCTTCTCCGTGTGAGAAGAGGCCTTTGCTCAGCAGTGGAAGCGTATAGGCTGATGATGATGAAGCATACATAGAGATATACGGACAGAGGAAGTGACTTTGTTTTATATTGTGTAGTGATGCAGAGGAAAGAATTAACAATTTGTTTAAATTGTAAAGGCTTCCTACTATTGGGGAGCTATAATGCTATCCCCGGTGAACATATACTATTCATATACATATGTGGACTTCATGAGTGAAACCAGGCATAGCTATGTCAAAGTTATACTGGTACTGGTAACTCGACGTATTCCTTGCAGCATTGCTGGATGAAACCTTTCCATACCGATGGATAGGGCGCGGTGGGCCGATTCCGTGGCCTGCACGTAGCCCTGATCTTACGCCACTAGACTTTTACTTCTGGGGTCATATGAAAGACCTAGTTTATGTGAACCCAGTAAATTCATTGAAGAATTAAGGGAGAGAATAACAAATGTAGCGGACCAGATGAGGGCAACTATCACATCAAGAATCACAAAAACTGAAGTGAGGAAGCGAATAAGAACGTGTATTAGAAACCGAGGGCAGCACATCGAACAAGACGTGTGAAAGTTAAAGCTTTTAAACTGATATTGACTAAAAATAAATGCTAATATTCACGAAACTGTTTTCTTGATTTTCCGAATAATCACCTTTTTGTGAGACGCACATAATGTATTCCCTAACTTTGTACTAACTTTCATACCTTTTTGGATAGCTGATAAGACTACTATGTTATCCTAGTAATTTGTACATTTGGCATAGTAATTTTTTTTTTCACTTGACAACATTTTGTGTCAAGTTATAGCAATAATCACAAAAAAAAATGTTTATTTTGTGGTATTTGCCAAAGTTTTTGGCATTTTTAAACTTTTAATTATTAACAAAGATCTGCTACGGCATCAACTATGATATTAACTTAAATTTAAGTACTGTCGTGCCGTAAATAATTTTTGATATAAAAATACTAAATAACTCAAAAACTACTGAATTTCATTTTAGCCCTACTATGACGTCCTGCAAGGAATACGTCGAGTTACCAGTAACCCTATATTATGGTGATACAGCAAAATAGTTCAGCTTTTAAATCACACTGCTGTGATCATACACTTGTGGAGTCTATGTCCGTGGAAACATACAACGCTTTGTATTAATTGCCTAGATAATCTGTGAACATACAGTCTTATCCTAACTCGGAATAATTTAAATTAGGGCTATGGTGAAAAGTTAAATCATTTTTTTCTATTAGACTTTTGAACGCCAGCAAAGATGCAAAGTTTAAAACTGCCAGTCCGTCGGTCACTCCTCTTGTGATTTCATGCTGGGGTTGCGGGGCAAGCGCAATTAGGTACCGCGGCCTCGGCCCAGAGCAGGATAAGGAACTGGCGGTTTTTAGTCAGTAAGAGTCTGACACTCCCTCTCGCCTCACCCTGGGCGATAGCAGTAAATTTTTGATGAAACCCCTCACAAAATAATTTTACAATATAGTTAGAATCTTATGTCTAATGATGAATATGTTGATTTATTGCAGTAGCTTTTCACTAGTAGTTTTATTTGTCAAACTTAATTTGAAATTACTTTAAGCATAAAAAAAATCTCTTTCCTACTACTAGTAAAATTGTATAAAAACACATTCAGTAGTTTATAAGTTACTCATCAACAAATATATGTATACATAGCGAAGAAATTTTTCCTACAAATTGTAGTCGCAAATGATAAATTCCGACTTGGTAACAACCCTCCCTTGTTGGGGGCGTTTCTCTATTAAATATTGCTTTTAATTAGGTATCGGACGCCACCATTTTGTAACTAACTTAACTGATCGTAACTCAATGCTCACTGATTTTAATTATCAACTTCTCCGTTTAAATTGTGCTTGGTTGTAAACTATGTAGAAAGGCTTTGAAAGAGAGTTTTAGGAGAGGCTATAAGGGTTATTTTGGTGATTTCTCTTGTAGAATCTTTATTGTTATTTTATATGGGTTTGGGCTACTAAGTCCTAATTAAATTCAATTTTTCATTAAAGAATTCATTTTGATTCATTCTTATAATTCATTTTGTCTCTTGTACCAGGCATAATTTTGGATTTTCTTATTAGAAAAGCAGTTTCATGTTGCCGCGACGTGCACGCTGTATTACCGAATAAGAGTTCCGTTGCGACTTTAAAAACTAGTAGAGCTATTCTCAGTCACGTGAGTACGTTGTTATTTTTTTTAAATTTGGAAAAGCCGTACACATCTCGAAGTCAAAATAGACTAAGTACATAAAAGCACTATTGAACATCAAACAAAATATTTACATAAATATAGTTTAAAATTTGTCAGTCTGTCGATCAAACCTATCATGGTTAAACTATTTGCTCGTTCCAAGAAGTTTTGTCTTAATAACTCTTCTCCTTACTAAGAAATCATACCAAGAACTCCTTGCTCGCTTATTCAAAAAAATTCAGAGAAAAAATCATGAGGATAAACATTAATTGTGGTCGTCAATAAATTCTTATTGATATCGATAAATAAATGAGAAGTGTTTGTATAACGCGTCAGTAATTAATAACTGCAAGAGCAGTTATCTTTGCATATTAAAAAGAGTTTGTCTCACTTCGCCCTTCCAATTGTGGTCTAAGTTATAAGATGAAGAAGACGGTTACGCTTTACAATTTGAAGGAAAATGTACTTAGGAAAAGACATTAATATGCCCAGCCCAATTTAATTTTTGAGGTGGCGTATTCATCAAATGACTTTTTTTAAGAGAGAGAGTGTCAGACTCTTACTGACTAAAAAGCACCCCTTTACTTCTCCTTCTTCAGGCTAAGGCCACGGTACATTATTACGGTTGAACTGCAGCTCTGGTTGAATCATGTACAGCTGCCTGGATCTTAGTGGGAGAAGGACCGGGATGGTATTTAGTCAGTAAGAGCCTGATACTCCCTCACATTACTGTATGAGAGCCATGCTTCGGTCCAAATTATGTGATACCACGGCCTTACAGAAAACCGGCGTGAAACAACCACAGTATTGTGATTCGACGTGTAAGTGAGGCTACCAGAGGCCCATTTAGGTAAGTACTCCTCCCCCAATCCCTAATCCCCAAAACGGAAACTATCACATAAAAAAAAAAACAAATTACAAAAACCTATCTATATATGTGTTTTTAAGAATATTCCATTCGATACTAACGTTATTAACACTAGAAAGACCAGAGTGGTCAAATGACCCCAATGAAGTTTTTGATCATTCATATTATCAAAACCATAGCATTGAACTCATTGTCGTTTTATGACTTTTAACATTTCGTCATTGTTTACATTATTCTGATGTGTGTATATCGATAGCAAGATAAATACTATTTACAAATTCATCGCCTACCTAGAGAGACCGCAGTGGTCATTTGACACCACTGCGTGCTTGCTAGTTACATTTCGTGGAATATACTTGTGTTATGGGTAGTTGAAATAAAATATTATTTCTTGTTTTGTTCTTGTCAAAACAAAGACGTATCACGGCTCGCCATAATAATATAATGCCTCATTATCGTTCCCTTTGCCCTTCAAAAATACTGGAAGTGTTGCAAAATTTACCGGACGATCAATCAGACTGTGAATCGACTGAAGAAGTGAGGCACATTTTGCATTTAGATTCAGAAAGTGTTTACAATATTACACAAAATAGTGATTCTTTTAGGGATGATGATCACACTCATATTCTGATTCTGATAAAGTGTATATCATTTTATATATTGATGTAAATAAAATAATATTTTTACATTGCGAGTTTTACAGTAGCTCTCTCGATTTTACGTAGTGCAAACCTAAGAAGAGGTCGAGGTCGAGGTCTCATGTTTAGAAAGAAATGAAAGCCGTCGACAAAATCAGAGTTTAGGCGAGTGGGTCGTATTGCGACTAATGGTCCCATACTTGAACACTGGTCG